AGCACTGTATACAGTAGTGTGTTTACAGTGGTCCACTTGAAATACAGCATATCTAAAGGTTCACGTGAAGATATGTAAGATATAAAGGAACAGTCCACTATTAAGGACATTTTATTTGGTATTTGTGTGCACAATTCATTTTTAGCACTGGTTATGTGCAGTTCTATGGGTACCTACTGTATGTGTATGCATTGGTAAGACATTTGGTGTAGCACACATTGATTGTCACAAGCAATTTCTGTTTTCACTATTTATATATGCACATGTAATATTTTAGCACTGTGTTTATGTTTATATTGCTGTGCTGCATTTTGTTATTGATTTATGAAAAAATTTGATGAGATCACTAAAATGAAAACTGGGCACAACACTTATGTTGAGGGAGACCTGGATGTAGCAAACCACTTAAACAATTACTTTTGTTCAGTATTCTCAGAAATAAATTATGCTAACAATAATCAGTTGGGAAATCATATTAGTTCTAGTAATAATGGTTCATTTTTAGGATTTCCGGAGACAGAAGCAGCAGAGGAACTGGCTCGGTTAAAGATTAATAAAGCAATGGGCCACAAGAAGGGCAGCAAGGTAGAAATTGGCAATTACAGGCCAGTGAGTTTAACATAAATTGTAGTCAAGTTAATGGAATTACTCCTGAAAAGAAGGCTTATTGATCACTTAAAAACACACAGCTTACTGGATCCAAAGCAGCATGGCTTTACTGAGGACAGATCATGTCAGACTAATCTGGTTGGATTTTTTTTTACTATATTACCTATGTTTTGGAATGTGGTTTTGTCATCATAGCATATCTTGATTACAGCAAGGCATTTGATACAGTTCCACATAATGATTTAGTACAAAAGTTGTACAAGCTAGAACTTAGCCCTTGGGTGGTTCAGTAGATATGCAGCTGGCTAAAGGATAGATACCAGAGTATGGTTGTAAATGGGGTTCACTCGGAAAAGAGACCAGTCACTAGTGGTGTACCTCAAGGCTCTGTACTAGGTCCTGTTCTGTTTATATGAAAGTGATATAACAAAGGCTTGGTTCACATATATGCATTTTGCTTTTGATGCTTGCTCCAGTGCTTTTTGCAGTTTGTTTTATGTTTTTCTACATGCGTACAGAAAGTACTATTTTACTGAAAGAGTAGTTGACGCCTTAAAAAAAACATCCAGCAGAGGTAGTGAGCCAGTCAACAGTAAATAGCTTCAAACATGCTTGGGACAAGCATAGATCTATACTTAGACAAAAAAGTAAAAAAAAACAAAAGACAAAACAAAACACAGCCCCCCCCCCCCAAAATGGATGGAACACTTGGTCCTTTTTTTGCTGTCACTCTGTTTCTATTAGTAGAGGTGTGTGTTTTTAAAAAAATGGCTGACTAAAATTACAATTTGATTTCCACTTTAGCTAGCTTAACCTCCTTGGCGGTATGATTCTTTCCGATTTTTTGTGCTGAAAGCGGTACCATTTTTTTGCATGGAAATATGTAGTTTTTTATTGTAGGCTGTAATTTTTAGGAATAACTCACTGAAATCTGTCCGAACAAGAGTCTATTAAACATTCAGGATATGATAAAATTTGAAACACGAAATCATAAATTATAATTTAATAAATAATCAAAAAAATAATAATATAATAATAATAAATTTAATTCAATAATATAATCAAACCAAAAACACTGAAATTTGAATTACAGAGGCAAATTCGCACATCGCTGAGCAAAGTCGCAAAATCGTTTTCAGTGTCTGATGACGAATTTCCCCACGAATCATTATCACTCAATTCTGCAAGTGGTTCTGATTTACTATCGCTGTTTTAAAACCGCTTTTGACGTAAAGGGACGCTTTTTGGACGCCATGGACTTTTCTAAGTTTCCAGGCAGAAAGAACATTCAAAATGCAGGCAGGGCACAGGACAAAGCAGTAGGGACAAAATATATGTGAAATGCATTGAAACAGCAAAAATGACATTTTTTAAAAAATTCAAATTTCCTGCCGGCGTCCGTAGTCCTCGACGTCACAGGGACCGGAACACAGAAGCCAGATGCCGGCATCGGCCGGAGGAGATGGCCGGGGACGCTGCAGGGGACACATCGCGGGAGCGAAGGACAAGGTAAGTGCTGCAGGGACCCCCAGAGTAGCGCCGCATGGTAAGCCCGAGTGTAGCTCGGGGTTACCGCTTTTGGTATAGAAATTTTACCCCGAGCTACACTCGGGAATACCGCTAAGGAGGTTAATCACATGAGCTCTGTCATTTCAAAGCCATTTTTTCTCATTTTTAGGGACTCTTTAATGACTGGCATACTACCACTGGATTGGCATAAGGTCAATGTGGTGCCAATATTTAAAAAGGGGTCAAAATCTTTACCAAGTAATTATGGATCTGTTTAACTTCTATAGTTGGGAAGATACTGAAGAGTTTAATAGACCACATAGATGAGTTCTTGCTGGAAAAAATATTTTAAACAGACAGCATGGATTCATGAAAGACAGAAGTTGCGAAACAAATCTGATTTCTTTTTATGAGGAGGTGAGCAAAACCTTAGACAGAGGGGTGGCGGTGGACATGGTATACTTTGATTTTGCAAAAGCATTCGACACAGTTCTCCACATATGGCTAATGTGTAAGGTAAAGTCTACAGACTTGGAAAAATCCATTTGTAAATGGATAGAAAACTGTCTAAAAGATCGTATTCAGAGAATAGTGGTTAATGATTCATACTCTGAATGGTCCAGGGTTGTCAGTGGTGTACCCCAAGGATCAGTGTTGGGACCCTTACTTTTTAATATATTTATAAACGATATAGGGTCTGGAATTAAAAATACCATTTCAGTCTTTGCAGATGACACCAAGCTGTGCAGTGGAATAACGTCCTTACAGGATGTCTCCAACTTACAATCCGACCTCAATGCACTGTTTAATTGGGCAACTATGGGGCAAATGAGGTTTATTGTTTATAAATGTAAGGTTATACACTTGGGGGCTAAGAATATGCATGCATCATACATACTAGGGGGGGTACAACTGGGGGAATCAATGGTGGAGAAGGATCTGGGAGTTCTGGTAGATCACAAACCTAATAATGGCATGCAATGCCAAGCTGCAGTTTGTAAAGCAAACAAAATCCTCTCTTGTATTAAAAGAGGTATAGACTCCAGAGAGAGAGATATCATATTACCCCTGTACAAATCATTAGTAAGACCTCATCTGGAATATGCAGTTCAATTCTGGGCACAAATTCACAAAAAGAACATTGGGGAACTGGAGAAAGTACAGAGAAGGGCAACCAAACTGATAAGAGTCATGGAGGAGCTCAGCTATGAGGAAAGATTAGAGGAACTGAATTTATTTTCTCTTGAGAAGAGGAGATTAAGGGGGATATGATCAACATGTATAAATACATCAGTGGTTCATATAGTGAACTCGGTGTAGAGTCATTCACCTTGAGGTCTTCACAGAGGACAAGGGGGCACTCTTTGCGTCTGGAGGAAAAGAAATTTAATCTCCAAACACGGAAAGGTTTCTTCACAGTAAGAGCTGTGAGAAAGCTCCAGGGGTAGAGTGGAATGGGTTGAGGGGCATGGCCTGCTTGGAGCCTGGGCTGAAGCTGTCATACACCTCCTCACAGGGTTTTGTTGTGATGTGCGACTTTAGGGCTTTCTTTCCCTACTTGAAGCTAAATCACAGGTTTATACAACATTGATACACAAACCTTTCCAGTGCAACACATTGCACCTTCAATAAACATGTTGCATGCACTTATTTAACTATCAGTTCCCTGATTATTTACACCAAAATCCTTAAATCCTCCCACTTTCTAAAATTGAAAGTCTGCGCCTCTTTACAGGCTATACAAGAGCTTGCCAAATATTAGTTGCCAGGTTACTGTGTCAGCTGGAAAAAATACCCTGGCAAGCAGGACTTGCTGCCCATAATTGGGCAATAGGTACAGTAGTGATGTCTAACGGTGCTGCCAAGAGCTCAGTATTATGGAGGTTAACACATGATACAAGGGTCCATAATGCAGATAGTGGTGAAGGTGGGATGGGGAAGTAGTGTGGTGTGAAGTGCCCAATGTGATATTAAGGATGCCCAACATGATGCTGACTTCTTATCAGGGCCTAATCAGGCTTATAAGCTGCACATTTAATACCCACTGCACTATTTAAACATCACTAGTAGCAGGACTGGGACAATGGGTGGGCAGGAGGGTCAGCTGCCCTGGGCGCAGAGAAGCAGGGGGGCAAAATTAGATGCAGGGTTATAGACCCATTCTGTGGCATTAACAGGGGGAGGGGGGTGTAATTCTGGATCCTTGTCCTGATCGCTGGATGACCCTGTCCCAGTACTGACTTGTAGTAGAGAAAGAATCTAGTGGTGTTGGACTGTTGCTATGGAGAACATGGCTGCTAATAGTAGGGAAATTGTCTTTCGGTGGTGAGAATGCATTAAGAGGGTTCAATCATTTGGACCCGCTACTATGGGTAGGCGGCGTCCCCTCCCTCTTTTAATTTAAAAAAAATATATATACAGTATATTAATGTACAGTATATACATATATATAAGGTTACCGTGCCTTTACATTTTAAAGAGAGTTTAAGCAGGAAACAAGTAGCACATGACCTGGGAGAAAATTCCAGAAGGTCACATGACTAGTGGAAAGTTCTAGAGCAATGGGGCTCATTATACAGTATAAAGGAGCTCCGTCGACGGGAGATTGCCAGCTGCTCAGTTTCAGTACAAGGAGCTCCCTCCACCCTTTTTTGTTTACATTTAACCACCTTCTGCCCGCACAATGACGGGCGCAAGGTGGTTCTCTCGTTCTGACGTCCTTCCATTCTCACCGCGCATGCACGGCTCAAGTAGCGCGCAGCGTGGCGATCGCCAGTGCGCTGTGTCCCTTGGACACAGCGGATCACGGAAAGAGCCGAAGATGTCGGCTCGGTCATGTGTTCAGCTGTGTCCAATCACAGCTGATCACATGTAAATACAGAAATGCCGGTTATCGGCATTTCTTTCTCTCCTCTCGAGCTGTCACGCTGACAGCTCGAGAGGAGAGCCGGTAATCGGCTTTCCGCGGAGGGGACATGTACACTGATCATCAGGGCCTATCAGTGTCATATATCAGTGCTGCCTTTCAGTGCCCATCAGTGATGCTTGTCAATGCCCATCAGTGCAACCTATCAGTGCCACCTATCAGTGTCCATCAGTGCAGCCTATCAGTGCCCATCACTGCAGCCTCATTAGCGCACATCAGTGAAGGAGAAAAATCACTTATTTACAAAATTGAATAACAAAAACTAAAAGAAAAAATGTTTTTTTTTCAAAATTTTCTGTGGTTTTTGGTTTGTTTAAGAAAAAATAAAAATCCCAGAGGTGATTAAATACTACCAGAAGAAAGCTCTATCTGTCTCAAAAAAATGATAAAAATTTCATATGGGTACAGTGTTGCATGACCGCGCAATTGTCATTCAAAGTGTGACAGCACTGAAAGCTGGAAATTGGCCTGGGCAGGAAGGGGGTATAAGTGCCCTGTAAGCTAGTGGTTAAAGTGGGGACTGTTGTTATATTTATTCAGTTTGAGCTTGAGTCCTTAATGACTGAGCTATTTGATTGTTATTTGATAAGAGAAGTATAAACTTGATTATTAATTACTTATTTATAGTATTTGTTATTTATTTATCTAAATAAATACAGACACACAATCTTTAATGGCAAAATTTTGGCTGTGGAACTTTATTGGTTTAGTTATATATTGGGTATTCGGGAGTGGGAGAAAAGGTGCGGCCTGCATTCCCATGTGATGGTGGAGGGGATATTGCAGCAAAATCTGTGTTATTTATGGAATTGCTATTCATTTTTTATCATATTGTTTCTGGCAAGAATCATGGTTTAAGGAAATAGTGAAAGTGAAGTGATACTAAAGGCTATTTATTTATTTTTTTTGTAAAATAACAAACATGTTTGGCTAGGGTCGGTATCACTACTGGTAGCATGAGGAAGCACCTGGACCTTACAGAGGTTGCACAGGCAGTCCAACTCCTCCAGGATGGCATATCAATACGTGCCATTGCCAGAAGGTTTGATATGTCTCCCAGAGCATGGAAGAGATTTCAGGAGACAGGCAGTTACTCTAGAAGAACTGAACAGGACCGTAGCAGGTCCTTACCCCAGCAGCGGAACCGGTATCTGCTCCTTTGTAAGCTTTAAAACACTTTTTGCACTGCACCTCTAGGACCGGGCCTTTTGGCCAAGTCCTGGGCAATTTTTTTGCTACAGGCCTCAGGGCCTGGTCACTGCACAATTTGGGCACGACCATTTTTTTTATTATTTTTATAGATTATTTAATTATTTATTTATTTTTTCTCACCCCACGTTTGTCACTTTTACTTATGTGTGTGTTTTTCTCACAGGATGGAGGGTGTGGGTCCTCGGGCCTGCCCTGAAGTCTAGGGGGAGGATGTGTGGCCTTTTGGTTCCTTCCTCCCCTGTCCCTAGGGGGTTTTCTCTTAGGGAGAACCCCCAGGCCTAGTACTGGATGTCCGGCTTCGGCTGGGCATAAGGAACGGTGGTCCACCAGGCCTTTTGGCCGGGAGGACCAAATGGGAACCTTGTTCCTGTCAGGAGCTTCGTGCCCCGGGGGATCAGGGTAGTGGTCCAACCCCTTCGGGGGTAGGACAAAGCACACCCCTAAGTGCACTTTTTGTGTGGTGTTTTTGCACTTGCACTTTTTTGTGAAACACTTACAGGTTTTTCGTTGTAGTTTGCACGTTTGCGGACTTTAAAAAAAATAAAAAAATAAAAAAAAATCTGCTCCTTTGTAAGGAGGAACAGGATGAGCACTGACAGAGCCGTACAAAATGACCTCCAGAAGGCCATTGGTGTAATGGCTCTGACCAAGCAATTAGAAACAGACTTCATGAGAGTGGCCCTCTAGTGGGCCCTGTGCTCACTGCCCAGCACCATAGCACTTGATTGGCATTTGCCATTGAACACCAGAATTGGCACGTCTGCACTGGCGCCCTGTGCTTTTCACAGATGAGAGCAGATTCACCCTGAGCACGTGTGACAGATGTGAAAGGGTCTGGAAAAGCCGTGGAGAACTTTATGCTGCTTGTAACATCGTTCAGCATGACCGTTTTGGTGGTGGGTCAGTGATGGTCTGGGGAGGCATATCCATGGAGGGACACAGAGACCTATACAGGCTAGTCAATGGCACCCTGACTGCCATTATGCATCAGGATGAAATCCTTGCACCCATTGTCAGATCTTATACTTGTGCAGTAGGTCCTGGGTTGCTCCTGCTGCATGACAATGCCCGGCTTCATGTGGCAAGAGTATGAATTCAGTTCCTTGAGGATAAAGGAATTGATACCATTGAATGGCCCCCATGCTCGTCTGACCTAAATCCAATAGAACACCTCTGAGATATCATGTTTCAGTCCATCCAACGCTGCCAGGTTGCACCACAGACTGTCCAAAAACTCAGTGATGCCCTGGTCCAGATCTGTGAGGAAATTCCCCAGGATACCATCCGTCGTCTCATTAGCAGCATGCCCCGACGTTGTCAGGCATGCATACAAACACATGGGGGCCATACAAACTACTGAGTACCATTTTGAGTTGCTGCAATGAAATTTCAGCAAAATGGACTAGCCTGCTGCATCATTTTTTCACTTTGATTTTTAGGGTATCTTTGAATTCAGTCCTCTGTAGGTTGATAATTTTAATTTCCATCAAACGATGGGGCATCTTTACGTTCCATACACATTACCCAGTCCATATCAGTATATTTATAGATCCAGCATAATATATTTCCCCAGTGTACTTACCTGCTCTGTGTAGTGGTTTTGCAGAGAGCAGCCTGGATTCTCCTCTTTCCGGGTCCCCCACAGACTCTCCTGGCTCCTGCTTGCTGTCAGGTTGACACCGTGTCACCATTTACTTATGGAGCCGTGGCTTGGTTCCGCCCCCTCTCTCTCCTCATTGGCTGACTTGCTGTGATTGACAGCAGTGGGAGCCAATGGTTCCCACTTGACTTCTCAACCAATGAGGAGGCAGAGACCTGGGACAGCCGAGGCTGTTGTGCACATCGCAGGATCGCGATGGGGCTCAAGCAAGTATTCAGGGGGCTGGAGGCACTGCTGCACACACACATTTTTTTTACCTTCATGCACAGAATGCTTGAGCCTTTACAACCACTTTAAGGAATAAGTTTTAATTTGGTACTGAGTTCCATATTATACATGTGTAAGGGAATCCCGGTGATATGATTGGCAAATAGAAGTGCGCATGCGCAAAGAAATGCGCGATCGCGCACACGCATGCGCACATGCACGGTGAAGTTTGGCACCAGACAGACTATTTAAAAGGTGCCTCTGCCTGTGCTGAGTGCTGACTGGTCTTCAGCTGTTCCCCGTTTCCTGCTCGTTTCTGTGTGATTTCCTTGTTGCTGACCCGGCTTGTTCCTGACCTGACTCTGATTACTCTCCTGCTTGATACTTGTTCCTGACTTTGGCTTGCTTATGATTTGGTGCCTCGCTGTCCGCCCCGTTTATGACCCCGGCTATTCTTATGACACTGCTCCTGTCTCCCATCCCAGCTTCCTGCCTTGCTCTGGTGCACACCTGGCAACCTACCATACCAGCTCTGCATATCACTACTGTTCCTAAATCAGAGGTTCATCAGTCTTCCAAAGTCTCCAGCTGCAAGAGCTGCAAACAACATCTGCTGGCGCTCTTGTCCCCCTGGTCCCTAGACACCCTCTGTTCCACTTCCAGTGGAGTCAGGGCTATTGACACAAGTGAGGCCAAGCTCGTCATTTCAGTCTCCAATCAGGTACATGACAGTACCAGTCAACCAGTGATGGAGTCTGAAAGGGAGGCCTCTGCATTGGGGGACATCTGTCAATCAATCTCTGCCTTGTCTTACATGGTGCATAATTTGCAAAGAAACCTTGAGCATATGGAAAACCAACTACCAACCAAGTCAAATGTCTCAACAGCCATGGGTCCCAGACATAACTACCCAGACAGAGCTCAGCATGATTAATGGAACTTCTCCACTACCGGAACCCCGGGTGCCAATACCTGAGTATTTCACGGGAGACCGCAGGAAGTTTCGAACCTTTCGTAACTCCTGTGAGCTATATTTTTCTCTGCTACCAAGAACCTTTGCATCAGAAAGCACCAAAGTGGGATTCATTATTTCACTCCTTCAAAATGAACCCCAATCCTGGGCACACCACCTTCGTGAGCAACATGATCCGGCTCTGACTTCTATGGACTCTTTTTTTTCTCAGCCATGTAACAACTTTACGAGGATCCCTTCCATCATCAGACTGCAGAATTTATGCTCAGCAAGCTACAGCAAACCGAAAGGCCTATAGAGGAATATGTCACTGAGTTCCATATATGGAGTTCTGACACTCAATGGAACGAGTCTGCTCTCCGCCACCAGTTTCGCCTTGGTGTCTCTGACACCCTGAAAGATGAGCTTGTCCGAGTTGGGGTACCAACCAGGCTAGAGGACCTGATTAACCTTGCCATTCAAATCGATCAACAGATCCGGGAAAGATGGGATGAAAGAACTAGCAGGGGTGTCTTGATCTGCTCAGAAATCGAGACTCCTGTCTCCTCACCCACTGCTGTCACATCAGACATTCTCCCCAGCAAAAGAGGGCATCGTAATTCTCCTAGAAGGAGCTTTTGGAGACCACTGTTATCCTCTGCTGAATGTCTTCGACGACAAAACTCCAACCTTTGCCTCTACTGTGGTGATGCAGGTCATTATGTACTGACATATCCAGTGAGACCTCATAAGCCTTCTCCTAGCTGGTTCCATATGATACACCCCTAAGGAACGAGTCAAACGCACTGCTCCTTCCATCTTCGCTTACAACTTGCTGAAAGAACTATTACTCTTCGAGCAATTATAGACTCTGGTGCCTGTAGCTGTCTCATGGATTCTACCTTTGCTAATCAAAACAATATCCCTCTCCATACTAAGACACAAGGATTTTCGGTCCATCTGGCTGATGGCTCTGGTATCAGTTCTGGCCCAGTGACACAGGAAACTATGCCATTTTTCTGCCACTCCTCCTCGGGACTTCAGGAATTTCTATTTCTGGATGTCATAACCTCACCAATGTTTCCGGTCATCCTCGGCATGCCCTGGCTAAGGGCACACAACCCATCCATCGATTGGCTTTCCGGGGAGATCCTCTTCCCTTCCGAATACTGTCAGAACCATTGCATTCC